ATTATTATTATCATCATTTTTACTATTATGAAAAAAGTGATAATAACAATCATATAATAACAATCGTTATAGATCTAGCAATAATAATAACAAATCATCAAATAACTACCAACGCAACTGCATGGATTTAACATTAGGCCAAAGGTGTGCGATATCTTGCTGCTTTTTGTGGCAGCTGTTATTGTTGTTGCTGCTGTTATTGCTTCTGTAATTATTGTTGCTGGTTGTTCTTTAGTTTTTTATTTAAGGGTTTTTTTCCCCTTTGATGCGAGGCATGAATAAACATAATGAGATGAAAGAGTTTCTGTAAATGGTATTATACAAGACTGGTTATTTGAGAACGCTTATACTAGACGTAAAACATACAGCTGAGAGAAGAAACTATAAGAAAATTACTCACATAAATTATGTCCAGGTAGACCTACATACCTTTATTAGTATTAGTGCTAAAATAACAGTTTCCAAGGGAACACATAAACCGTTCAAAGACGGTTAGCTGATTTATCCAGAGGCATCTCGCATACCTCGAGAACCAACGCTCGTGGTGTCCTTTGTGACTTGTTTTACGTGGTATGTTAGCTGTCCAGTCAGTAAAACAAACAGGGAAAAAGTACACATGCGATACTCACATGTCAAATCTACTACACTATGTTATCGCTTCATGTGACAACACAGTGCACCAGTGCCCAAGCTGTTTAATGAGCAGTCACTCGTGTTTCGATGTGCTGGGCTGTGTGTTCAGAGTAGATCTACATCATTATTTTGTTTTCATAATTGTTCTGTTTTGAGGAACAATACTCAAAGGCACTCCAGTCGGATACTCCCCTGCTCTATGGGTAGGCGTACCAAGGCTTTCAGATAAGAACAAAGTTTATATCTCGGCCTATCTAATATAACAAATCATAAGTGGTTTACGCAGAATGAAGTGTGTGACGCAACGTGAATGTACTCAAAGGTTAGGGTTCAAAGCTCTTCTTTTTAACCATTCAAGGTTACGAGGCTGATGATGATGATGACAATGATCATGGCGATGGCAACGTGTTTGAGTGGGCTCGTGTGTTTGTGTTTATATATTTTATG